AGAGAGCCCAACATGCTGGGTGCCCTATTGCCCTGCAGCCTGGGAGCCATCGAGCTGCTCTCCGGGGGAACTCCACGTGGAGGGCGTCTAGGGCGATGGGGCCGACTGGGGCACCGGCAGGCCTCGCATGATACAGAATTGGTCTCAGCCCAGTAAAGCAAACAGCTCCAGCCCGTCAGCACAGAGCTATGCAAGAGCAGTAGCAGCACAGACAGACACCTGGCCCTGGCGTTCACAATCCCCGCTCCATGCTGCTTCAGCTCAGCCGTTCCCCTCCTACGCCCCACAGCGCTGCGTTGCACGGCGCTCCTGCCGCATTTTGTCAGTCATTTGCCAGATGAAAGGCAGGCGTCTTGCCCCAGGACTTGATTCTGTTGGTATTGATGCACATCTTGGGAAGGTTTCTCACCCACGAGCAGAAGGATTAAGCTTAACCTGAGCTGCTGCTGCAAAAGCACCAGAGATGCCCACCGTAGGGTGACAACGCAGCCGCCCGGCTATGGCGTCACTGCAGTCAGAAGCTTGCGACGCTAGTGGGAAGATAGCAAAATCCTTTGAGGAAGGACTGTCTCTCTGTGTAGCCCCTAAAGTGGCTCAAGGGGCATCTGTCTGGCCCGGAGAATTTATGTGGCCTGGTCAAAGTCAGGGAGGGAGTCAGAGCCACACTGCCAACGCACCCTCACCCCAACTAAACCATCAGACTGCATGCCTAGTGTCCATCAGGTCTGTACGGGCTTTCAGTGCATGAAAGGGATCACTGCCTGCAGCTCTGTCTACTGCAGGATAGGACAGAACAAAGAGCAATGGGTTCAAGTTGCAGCAAGGGAAGTTGAGGTTAAATGTCAGGAAAAACTCTCTCACTAGGAGGGTAGTAAAGTACTGGAACAGGCTCCCCAGAGAGGTGGGGGACTCTTCACCCTTGGAGGTTTTTAAGACCTGGCTAGACAAAGCCCTGGCCGGGACGATCTAGTTGGGCCTGGTCCTGCTTTGAGCAGGGGCTTGGACTAGGTGATCTCCTGGGGTCCCTTCCAACCCTCATTTTCTATGCTTCTATGACCGAGGTGGATAATCCAGTCAGTCATTTCCAGTCTCATTGAAAGAGCACTGAAAAGATGTTGACAGGTGCTGCACTAGCACTGACACTGCTTTGCACAACTGAGGCTAGTGGAAACAGGTGCTGAATGCTAGCTCCATCTCCGCACCAGCCTGCAAAGCTGGAGAATCCCTGCCAGCTCAACTCCCTGCAGCACAGATCAGACCAGCCCTACAAGGATTTTGTAGGACTAGTTCATCTGCTGAGGATGGAAGCCCACAGAGAGATGATTTTGTGATGAAGCAATTGCTCCTGAAGGAGATTGCAGGATGATCCTCCCATGAGATTAATTTGTGGAGAGAGAATGATGAACGTCTGAGGAAAGGGGCAAGCTTCACCCTAACATGCATTCCCTTTAGCAAGCAGAATCAGATTTGTATATAAATTATGTAAATGAAATTATCTGAGGCATCTTTGGTTGCTTTGGCTTGAGAGAGCAGCTTCTGGAAAGGATCAAGCTGAAGGTTGCAGATTTATAAAGCAGTTTCTTGATCAATTTTAAATTCTAAAGCATTATTAGCCTTCTCATGCCATTGTCCAGTAGAGGGAAGCTGGGACTTAGGAGGCAAACAGCAGCTAAATGGAAGTCTGCAGTGAAACCAGCCCTGGTCACTGGTGGCGTTGCTTGCCAATATCTTACTTTGGTGAAGAAGGGGTTTTGGTTTTATATCTTAAAGAGAGAAAAGGAAAGAGGAAGAGAGAAGGGAAGAGAAGACAAAGACCTGGAAAACAGAAAACAATTAGAGCCGAGAGCCAAAATATGGACCCTGGAATCCACACCAGGGGCAGGCAATTATTTTGGGTGGAGGGCCGCTTACTGATTTTTGGCAAGCCATCAAGGGCCACATGAGAGGCAGACAGGGGCAGATGAATATTAATTTTCTAAATTTTTTAGGGGCCCCGCGGGCTGGCGGGCCACATCCTGCCCACAAGCTGCATTTTGCCCACCCCTGATCCACACCCTGCTTCTGAGATGATCCAAAAACAAAAGTGCCTGTTGACAAGCTAAAGCACGTGCAAGTTGAGGACAAGATAGTAGAGGTCCCATACAGAAAGCAAGGCCTTTCCAGCATCATATCTAAACCAGCTTGAACACTGTCTCTTCACCATTTTTCCTAGTTAAAAGGGTATCAGAGTGACCTTGAAGGAAGAGCAGCAGGATAAAGGACGTCTTCAGACGGGAGAGAAAGCAGTTCCATTAGCGTACCAGTGGTGACCAAGCCTGTGAATTAAAAAGCCCGCTGGTTTCCCTGGTGCATTCAATAGCTGTACAGAATTATTCTGATCTCTGAGAATCTTCTACAGAACAAGGGTCTGAGCCTGTGGCTGCAAACACGCTCCAAAGTGAGAGAGGGGCCCTGGGGTGGAAAGTCGGGGAATGGTATGGAAGAAGTTCAGCAACACTGTTATAGGGGGTCCTCATGACATCAATGTCTCCAGGATTAGTCTAGCATGTAGAAACAGACTATTAATACTCCAGTTAACCCATAGTCAGAGTCATTTTCATGCAAGAGATGCAAGGAGCTCTGCAATGATCTCATTTTTCACTTGAAAGAGGTCAGGGAGGTGGAAAGATGTGGGATTTTAGCAGTAGGCAAAACATGACACCATGAACATTGATTTGTATTCAAACCGTGGGACTGTATTAATAGGGGGAAATGGATTTGGGGGCTGTATTAATGGAACTCAGTACCCGAGGCATCTCTGGCACCTGTTTTTCTACCATGTGATGGAGAGCAGCTAATTTGTGGACGGACTTGCACAGAACTCAGTGATGGCTGTGGCGTGCTGAGTGGCTCCCCACACCAAGCTAGGGGAACAGTAGAGATGCTGGAGGGTAGGGCTCAGATTCAGAGTGGCCTGGACAAAGTGGAGGATTGGGCCAAAAGAAATCTCATGAGGGTCATCAAGGACAAGTGCAAAGTCCTACAATCCCATGCACCGGTGCAGGCTGGGGGCTGACTAGCTGGGCTGCAGCTCTGCAGAAAAGGACCTGTAGGTGACAGTGGACAATAATCTAAATAGGAGCCAGCAGTGTACCAAGGCTAATGGCATCCTGGGCTGCATTAGTAGGAGTGTTACCAGCAGATTGAGAGAAGTGATTCTTCCCCCTCTATTCAGCACTGGGGAGGCCACATCTGGAGTCCCGTGTCCAGTTTTGGGCTCCCCACTACAGAAAGGATGTGAACAAATTGGAGAGAGTCCAGTGGAGGGCAACAAAATGGGTCAGGGGCTGGGGCATGTGACTTATAAGGAGAGGCTGAGGGAGCTGGGCTTATTTAGTCTGCAGAAGAAAAAACTGAGGGGAGATTTAATAGCAGCCTTCAAGTACCTGAAGGGGGGTTTGAAAGAGGACAGAGCCGGATGAATCCCAGTGGTGGCAGATGACAGAACGAGGAGCAATGGACTCAAGTTGCAGCAAGGGAAGTTTAGCTTAGATATTAGGAAGAATTCTCTCACTAGGAGGGCAGTAAAACACTAGGACAGACTACCCAGAGAGGTGATGCACTCTCCATCCTTGGAGGTTTTCAAGACCCAGGTAGACAAAGCTTTGGCTGGGATGACCTAGTTGGGGCTGGTCCTGCTTTGAGCAGGGGGCTGGACTAGATGCGACCTCCTGAGGTCCCTCCCAACTCTAACTTTCTATGATTCAGTTGCAGGATTGGAATACAAAAATCTTTATTTTCTTGCACTACAGGGCATCCTTTCTGAGAGAATTTAACTGCAATCCCAGATCTCACTCATCTGTAGGGTATGGGACGTTCACAAATTAGGAATAACAGAAGGTTTCCAGAGGGAAACATTAGCAGATTGTATCAAACAACACTGTAAAATGGTTTACCTTCATGCCTGATTTTCCATATGTCCATTTTGCTTTGATGAGAGAACCGCTCCTGCAATTCCATGTTTTTGAGATCCCCCAGAGATTGTGGGACAGTAGCAGCAGCTCTTGCTGCAGCCCTTTGCAATGCTCCTCATCCTGAATTTGGCAAGACTTCGCTAAAACGCTTGAATGATTTTGCTCTCCTATAGAGTTTGCCCCTGTGCATCTCAAAGGGCTTTGCAGAGAAGAATAGAATATCAGTGTCCATTTTAGAGAAGGCGAATGGAGAAGTGACTACCTGGTTTCACCCTGTGGACCCGCAGCAGAGCCAGGTCTCCAGGCTAATTCACTAACCATTAAGCATCACTGCTGCCTTGTCAGCTGGCTAGTCCTGCCTGCTAGCTGGAGGAGGCGAATCAAGCCTTCCTCTCCCCACTGCTAGGAGCACATCAGGCAGAATCAGCATTGTGAGCTGCCGAACGGGGAAGCTTTTTATACGTGCCTTTGTACAGAAACACAATTCAGTCCACTGCTGTCCATAAACACATCCCTAATTCTACTCCTGCCACGGATCCCCGGGGAGCTACCCCCAGTGGTAAAGGTAAGGGTGATCTAGTACAAGCACTGTTAGGAGTAGGTTGGTGTATGGTTCTCCCCCAAGCAACAAGCACTTCTCCTACAGGCCTGGATACATTTCCCCCTTCACCCAAGAGCTATTCCCCTTTAGATCAAGGAAACTACCACAAGCTGCCTTCAGTTGGCCACTGCTCTCTGCATCACCTCAAATCTTGCCTTTGAGGATTGTAAACAGGTGATCTGCTTTTCCCCCAGCTCTGCCCAGCCAGCTACCAGATCACTGCAACCTTTCAGGCTCTCAAACACCATCTTCCAAATAATGAATCAAAACAGTCCTGCTCAAAGCATTTAATTTGAGGTGGAGTGATATGAATCGTCTCTCATAATAAAAATAAAGTCCTGTGGAGCAACTCATGGATGCTTATTAGTACAGCCACTTGACGATGCAGTCAGCCATACAGGGAAACTAATAGGAACTGATGGGAAAAATACTTGATGAGGACTTACCTGTTTCAGTAAAGGGTACAAGGTCTAGTGATTGGATTAATCTGCCATTTCTAGGATAAAAACTTATAACTAAAAACAAACTGCGTAGAAAATAAGACCGCCAACCCTCCCCAAAGTTTTTCCATCTTTATTGCTGTCAGTCATAGCAGCTTGTACTATGCCCTGCTTGCTTTCACTCCAGCTGGGAGATGCAGCAGGGATACACCCAGTCTTTCCAACTGTTGCTCATTTGCAAAGAAGAGCCCTGGTGCTGGATTAATTATCAGTGTCTGGTGCTCTAATGAGAAAGGGTTTTTGCACAGTGCCTCCCTCTAAGACTCACCTGTAAAGTTCTTTTAGTGGAAAGTGCTCTGTAAACACTAGGTATTAACATGGACCATAGAAAACCTTGCTCCATATTTCCAGCTCTTGCTCATCTTTTATAACAGTAGCTTGAGATGACCTCCATCTCCCTCATACAGCTTGCTTCAGGGAAGCAAGCAGATAATTGCACCCACCCCCCAGAAACAAAAAGCCCATCATAATCAGCAGGTTTATGACCTCTGGAAAGTCACAGCAGAAAGATCTCTGGAGATTCTCCACAGCCATTTTCAATGAAAGGAAACAATGGGGTTGGGAAAGTCTAATCTACCTTCATTTAAGGGTTTAATGTGTGCAACCTAGAAGAGGGGAAATGCCCACTGTCACTGCAGCTCTTTCCTTATAGTGCCAGGTAGTGCCATGGCATTGCACTAGTTTGCACCATACCTCTGACAGGATCCCTGCAGAGGGGGAAATGCCCTGGTGGAAGCCAGAGTTGCAGATTGCATTGCCTCTGTGCATCTCCCTAATGCAAGCCAGCTGCAGCTAACAGAGTAGCTGCTGCCCTGGGTGAGACATCAGTGAACCAATAGGATCCCAGAAGATTCCCGTGGCTACTCCAATCAGGTGCAGAGACAGGATAGGGGTGGAGCTAGAACCCCCTTAAATAGGCACTGTGGCATGCTAGGACATGCTATTCAGCTGGCAGGGCATCTGAGTGGGTTAGTTTTTGTCTTCACTCTCCCAGGTAACCCACTATGGCTGAAGAAGAGATTGCAGCGCTGGTGGTTGACAATGGCTCTGGTATGTGTAAAGCTGGCTTTGCAGGGGATGATGCACCCCGGGCTGTGTTCCCTTCCATCGTGGGGCGCCCCAGGCACCAGGGGGTCATGGTGGGGATGGGCCACAAGGACAGCTATGTGGGAGATGAAGCCCAGAGCAAGCGAGGCATTCTGACCCTGAAGTACCCCATTGAGCATGGGATTGTCACCAACTGGGATGACATGGAGAAGATCTGGCATCATACCTTCTACAACGAGCTTCGAGTGGCCCCTGAGGAGCACCCAATCCTGCTTACAGAGGCTCCCCTGAACCCAAAGGCTAATAGGGAGAAGATGACTCAGATTATGTTTGAAACCTTCAATGCCCCAGCTATGTATGTGGCTATCCAGGCTGTGTTGTCCCTGTATGCCTCTGGCCGTACCACTGGCATTGTCATGGACTCTGGGGATGGCGTCACCCACACCGTGCCCATCTACGAGGGCTATGCCTTGCCACATGCCATCCTGCGTCTGGACTTGGCAGGCCGCGACCTGACTGACTACCTCATGAAGATCCTGACAGAGAGAGGCTATAGCTTCACCACCACAGCTGAGAGGGAGATTGTGAGGGACATCAAGGAAAAGCTGTGCTATGTGGCTATGGACTTTGATGTGGAGATGACCACAGCTGCATCCTCTTGCTCCCTGGAGAGGAGCTATGAGCTGCCTGATGGCCAAGTCATCA